GGGCGCCCAGGTGGCGACGCCCATGTCGAACCTGTCCAACTCCAACCAGGACGGCGGCGTGATGAGTCCGCCGCCGCCGCAGGGCTCTCTGCCCGGGACGTCGGTGGTGTCGCCGGCCAACACCCTCATCAGCCTCATGTCGCCGCCCTCCGCCAACTCCCCGCTGGCCAACAATCCGCAGTTCGGGCCGCAGCAGGTGGCCGTCAAGGAGTGGCATCTGCAGGTGGTCGGCGCCGACGGCCGCTCCAGCACCGACTCCCTGCGCAACCATCTCATCCACAAACTGTACGTAATCATGCCGCTGTTCTTCTTGATAGCATATTCTCCAGTAGAATGAAATCACTGACAATAATTCATCGTAAATTAAACACTTATGTCCTGTGTCTGTCAAGTGTGTATTTGTTGTAGATATATGCATTTAGACACGATGTAAGTACGCAGCATCCGAAGAAAAAAAAAGACTTCCTCGGGCCCAGCATCTGGGACAAGCCCAACCCCTACGAATCCATGGCCGCGGTGGGGGGCCCGCACGACTTCAAGCTGGAGTACATGGACCTCGACGAGTTCCTCTCCGAGAACGGACTGGGCGGGCCCGCCCAGGGCACCAGTACCGGCGGCCACCACGGTACGACAGTCAATTATTTTTAATAATTTAATTAAAAAATTATAGAAACATATTTAGCAGTTTCTGATTTTTCCGAGTCGGTTAATTTCTGGCATTTCCAAATAAATGAATTCTTATTTCTTATTATTTTGATTTTTCTAAAAATTAACCAGATTTATTAGATGCATGTTGTTTAGGTTTTTCTCTCCTGTATTTTATTAGGACATATGTAGGATGTTTATTAGCTTTACTTGTAATTTGCAACTAATTACAGTAAATGTCTAATTTCATATAATTAATAAATTAATTTTCTTTGTGTTTTTAGAATATTAATATGATGATTTAAAAATGATTTAAAGGGCTACTGATAAGAAATAGATTTGCGAATGCGTTGGTAATCCGAATCATTGCGAATAAGTAGCTGCTGTTATTCTCACTCAAAGCGCCATAGCGCAGTCGCTTCAACAGCCATGCTATAGCATGCTGTTTGGTTTACGTCGTTTTGGCAGCAATTTGTGTAATTACAAAGGTCGGTGGTGAGGCGTGTAATTAACGTCAATACGGTCTGCTTAGGTGTGGCCGGCCTGGGCAGTCCGCACGGCGGGTCGGCCTGCTCCAGTCCCAACCAGACGCACATGGGCGGCGGGGCCGGCGAGGACAACAAGGTCAGCAGTTCCACCGGCTCCAAGGAGCGCGAGTCCCCGGGAGGTAAACACAAGTGTGCCCGCTTACCTGTACAAATACCCTGTCTCAGTGCGCTCTCCTCTCTGGCAGAAGATCTCCCCGGCGTGCCGCACGTCCTCAACAAAGACTCCCTGCACATGGGACCCGACATGAATGGCGGTACGTGGCACAATAAATCCCATAGCCTTCGCACATGTTTGATTCATAATCCTATTGACTTTTCTGTATAACGGTATTCATGGATAAATCTCCATTGACGTCGCGGTATCGGTTTTTTTATGGTGTTGCTGATGTCTTAATTTTGTTTACACTATGGGTCAATTTAACGGATTACTGTACTGTGCATATACTCATATTTTCACGACGTTCACGGTATCAGTGAGCAAACAAACCAGTCATTCAGCAATTAGACATTACAAAAAGTGCGATTAAAAACTCTTTTACTTTGCATACGTATTAAGCTTTTTGTATGAAAATGCCTACGAATGGAAATAGCATTCCTGGAAATACCGATATTTATTGTATGCATTGCTGACTGCTGAGACTACCGAACGATAATATAAGACGACGATAAGAGAGTACGAAAAATGAGGGAAGAAATCAAAGTAGTAAGGAAATAATGTAAGATATCAAATGAAAATCGAATATCAGAAATTCTTGTTATAATTTCGTGAAAAGTGGACGTTGTTTTTATTAGTTTAAAAATCCATTTTTGTTGATTATTATTGTATTGAAACTAATAGTTAATTGTTGCATTTTTGCCCGGCAGATATGGCCATGGCCCCCGTACCCGGCTCCACGGTGAACTTTGACCCGCGGCGCCGCCGGTTCAGTGAGGAGGAGCTGAAGCCGGCGCCGATGGTGAAGAAATCCAAGAAGCAGTTCGTGCCCGACGAGCTGAAGGACGAGAAGTACTGGGCGCGTCGGCGGAAGAACAATCTGGCGGCGAAACGCTCGCGGGATGCCCGGCGCATCAAGGAGAACCAGATCGCCATCCGGGCGGCCTACCTCGAGAAGGAGAACCACAAACTGCGCGAACAGCTCGATAAACTCACCCGCGACAACATGGTCATGCGCGAGAAGCTGGCCGCGTCGGCCAAGATGGATTTGGGCAAGAACAGTGCACACTGAGGTAAATTAGGCAGTTTCTTATGGGCGTCGACAGTTATCTTCTCGATCCTGTCAATTTTATTACATTTCTAAATTTGTAACAGAATTTCTGAATCGTATTAACTAATAATTCACAGCGCCGTTTATTCCTGCGAATGTTTTAATTATTGTCGAATTCATCGAACAACAAACATTACAGTAAACCTTTATAATATTCGTTGACGACCATATCGATTTTTGGAAAAATTAAACTTCGAGCCAAATTAAATTAAACAGCTTTGTATTGTAATAAATATTGCATAATTATGCAGTACAATTAAAAGCATTTTTAATCAGTCTTTTTATTCCGAAGTATTTTGTCAAGTTATTCGGGAAGAAAAGATGCGAATATATGAATGTAATTGTTTATTTTTAATGCTATAAATTTTTTTTTTGTTTTTGCGTTTATGTTTTATTTTACGCGGTACAATTTTAGCTTTAATTTTTGCAGGACACATGCCAGCCTCTCCGCGTTTTCATACTGCTGAGGAAATCATTTTACCAAAGTTTTTCTAATGGGCCTTAAAATGTACCGAATGTCAGTGTTCTTTGAGCCGCCGCCGCAGTTTGCCGTGTGGTTGTGTTTTTATTCGGAGTGTTGTCGACGTACCAACACACGTACCCACTCTTCCCGTTTTCCCCCGCGAACGCTAATTGCCGAGACGGACTAATTGTTTTTGTACAAATAATAATTTTCGGGAGAAGCGCGCTCTCCTCTTGTGTTTTTTCCTGCGTGGACGGCGTTGGAGCTGTGTGCGGGAAGTGGATCACTCTGGTGTGAGGCAGGATGGAGTCCATGTTTTTTGTTACTTTGGGAAAATCGTTCTGCACCGGTCGGCTGAATACTGGGTGTATTCGGCCGCCGCTGAAACAAGTATTACCATGATCTCAGTAGACGTCGATGGCGACGTGTTTGCTGCCGCTACAGCGTGGTTTAATGTGAAACCGGTGTCCGTGTCTTTTTCTGTTTTTTTTGGTGTTTGTAATGTAATGTTGGCATAATATACCGGTAATACAGTATAATTATACGGCGCTTTATTCTGTCTTCTTTTTCTGGCCACTTTTTCGCCGGTGTTTCATCGAAGTAATTAACGAAAATAAAATTATACGATGCGGAAATGACACACTAGAGAAATATTATTCAAAGTACACGAATAAAATTAATCCGAGCATCCATCACAGATCTGTTAGAAAGAATCAGGTGAAAAACATTTTTCGCTAAAAAAGGAAACAAAATTTAAAACAACGCGCGTTAATACTGTACCGAAATACCACAATCGTCGGGTCAAAAACATCTAGTATAAAAAATGAACAGCGCAAAACATTTTTATCATCCCGACAGTTACCGTTATTCCGAATTTATTTTTTCGAGAGCTTCGAGGGGGGATGCTAGTTTCCGGTATCATCGGCCGTTTTCTCCGCCATGAATTCGGCCGCACACAGCCACTCCCCGCGCCCAAAGTCGCCGTCCGCACGCTGGCCATCGACGACCCGCTGACCCCCGGCATCCGGCAGATAAGGGGTGTGGCGCGCCGGTTCTGCTTGACTCCCGTCCGGTTTGACCTGATCCGCCACTGTTAAGACACCATAAACTGTAAACCATGTAGATCTTTCCGATCGCGAGTTTTATTAATTTTACAGTCCAATAAACAATCTAACGCGTTAGAAATTTAGCAGGATAATCACTGAATCGCAACGTATCGCCATTCTAAGATTTTTCTATTTTTACCATCGTTGATTAAAAGATATGCGCGCTATCGATATCCGTGAAACTGCAGGTGCAAGGCATTTTCCGTGTTTTACCGAGCTCACGAAAAAAAACGGGACACCACTGCAGACAACTTCAGCTATACGCCTTAAACATCGTAAAATTCTCCCTCAAAAATTTCACTATCAATGCTAATATTCAAAGAATTTCGAAACAACTGCTGTGCGAGAATTCAGAAAAAGATTGAAATTTATCAAACAAAATTTTCTCTGCTAATTCGCACCGAAATAATTCAGCAGTGCAATTATGTACAGATAATCGCTCAGTCTGTCTACCTCCCAGAGAGTCGCGCTGTTTGGAGCCGGCAGAATGTGATTGCTTAGCGCGCTAATCGCATTAAGCACTATAAAAAGTAAGATGTAAAAAAGTAAGAAGAGACAGTTAGAAAAAAATACCCCATTAGTTGATAATTCCCAACCTCCTCGAATTTTAAAATTACAATATTCTCGAATGAGCTGGATTATCTCTCAAAAAGCAGTGCGATATTTCACAAAAAATTAAATTAAAAATTCAGCTCTTTGCCTCGAAATAAAATTGTAGAATGTGCTACAGACCAAGAACTATCACGCAATAGTTAAGCAAAGTTTTGTACTTTATTGGTAAAAGTAGAGAAATTTTTATAATTGTGCCAAGTTGGCTTGACGTTGCAACGTACGTTGCAGCATGATAGCTGGGAAAAGGCGCACTGCAGGATCGAAACCTGGTCGACTTACCTTTAATACCCAACAACTTGGCCACACGGGGGAAATGCGCCTTCACGAAGGCATCGTCGAATCCGGAACGCTTCTCCAAAACCCCTTTCGTAAAGGGAAATGGGAGTTTTTTATCTATGACAGAAATTCCAAACCATGCAGATATTTCTGAACTGGAGTCACATAATACTTACTGTACTTATTTTCGATAACGATTAACTTTATATATTATCCGTTTAGACATTACATCGATTCAGAATCGAAATGGCTACAACCAGACACGACTGCTTTAAAATTTATGATGGTGAACTAGAGTTCCCGTTTTGACTTTTCGTGAGTTTTCGTATCATTTTCGTGCGACCTCCAGATGAAACAACCTATCGTCGCTCATTACCTATCGATCTATTCACCAGCGATTATCTGCTTATTATTTAAATCAACTTAGTTTTACAGCGTTCATGAAAAACATTGAGTTTTGAGTCAATATCGCCGGATCCCTACATTCGCGAAACGGTAAAAGGCGAAACAAGAGTAACCTTCATGACTTATTTCTGCCTCTAAGAAATCCCTACCTAAAAAAATGTTAATATTCAAATAATTTCAAAGAAATCGAAGCATGAGAATTCACAAAAAATCGAACTTTTTCCATACAACATTTTAATGTGTTTAAATCCAGCAAGAATAAAATTATTATTAAGTATAATTACTTCGAAATTTAAATGGATAAACGCAAAATTGTGAATGGTGAATAACAGAATTTAGCAACAAAACTAAATAAAAGTAATTCGAAATTTAACTCATTAACTGGATAAATTTCGAGTCGCTAATTTACACAAAAAAATCAAATAAAAATTTAAATTGCGTTTATGACACTGTCCACTATACTCAAGGTCAATAAAGTTGAAAACTGGTAATTATTTGACTCACCGGCTTGCATTTCCGGCTCCACAACCTCAGCTAAGAGCATCTTGACTCCCGTAACAGCCTTGTCGTTCATACGGGCATTACATGTTCTGCAGTAAGAAAAAACAACTATCGCTAAAATCCAACACGTGTGAGCATCATTGCTCCATTAAACAAACTAAGCATGCAAAAGAAAAAATTTGCAATTTATGTGGAAGACGTGCATGCTTTACACATTTTATCCCCAACACGGCCATTTCCAAAGCCACTATACTACGATAGCTGTTTCCATTTTTTTAATTTTTCCATATTAAAATATCATGGATAGGCAAACTGCGTTTATGGATGGAAATGGATGGGGAAAATAAAAAAATGGGAATTTAGATTGTAGGATAAGAATGACGAATTACTGCGTTTTTACAAGCAACCAGGCTGACAAAATTAAGGAAAAAACCACCGGCACCTTTGTTTGCACTTCGCGCCGAATTACGTCAGTTTTAAAATGCTAGCATAAAAAAATGTGTGAAAAATTGCCTGCTTCGATCGAAAAGCTGATTGATCCCCAAGTAATTTTTTAAGCCAAAATACGCAAGTTCTTAGATCTACATTTAATATCTTTATTTTAGAAATGGAGCACGCAATTTGGCAGTGATTAATTAAACTCTAAATTATGCTGGGAATTAAACGTAAGTCAATAATTAAATGATTCAACACAATTAAATGATTAATTCAATTAAAATTATGGCAATTTTGATTATGCTGGAGCAGGATTAAAATTTTGTAATTTTAATTAAGCTTGAGCATAATTAAAATTTAATTATACCGAAGTCATTTTTCATTATACCGAAGCTTAATTATGAGTCAAATTAAGAATAATATTATAAATCTGCTTAATCAAAAGGAAACTGAATTTTAACTATGATGAGCAAAATTAAAATTGCAAAATTTTAATTATGCTCCAGCAGAATTAAAACGGTTGTAATTTTCATTATGCTGATCATAAGTAAAACTGATCAACTTTTAATTATGACGAGCTCAATCATAATTATAAGGAAAATAATTATGATGAATTTAATATTCACTAGAATCTGGAATGGAAGGAAATGGGTTTAATCCAAATATTATGGAATGGAAATGGGTGGAAAAAACGGTCAAAAATTGGGGAATGGGTGCGATATGGAAAAAGCAGAAATACGCAAGTTCCGGTCTCCATTGTCTCTTAGACCACGGGTACAGATAAATTCTTGCTTCCGGGCAGGCTTGCACTTACTCTGGCAAAGCCGCCATACGGTTGACGTCACCCCGAACCGGGATGGCCAACACAATCCCACCCAGTTCGTTTGGTGCGCCGGACAAAATCGGATCGAGAACCTCACTGGACGAAAATTCATCCCAGATCTACGAAGCAGAACAAGTTCTTTCATTATACAAATTATTAGGAAAATAGCAGGAACAGACTACTGCTACTTTTCTATTAATCCAGATAATATCCTACAACGCGGTGCGAATAATAATAAAATTAACGGTTTTCTCATTTGTTAATGTACGTGGCAGCAGCGCCGTCGTGAGGCGCCTCCTCCCTTCCGTCCCCGAAGGAGAAAACGGTGGGCCGCGAGCTGGCGCGAGAAAATGGAACTGGCGCTGGCGCACCGAAAATTACAATAGAAAAGTGACTTTTTTGAGCCACTTTACTACGATTTCTACTATTTTTTGGCCATTTTGAACTGGTACAGTAATGAATTTTATGACTACAGGCTCGTCCTCTTGTTTTTGATCCCAGTACAAAGAATCCACTCCAGAAATTGCTCGCAATCACATCATACACTTATCCGACTCAAATCTCGTAGCTATTGCCGGTAGAACTTCCGCTTGGAAATTTCATTACAAATTAACAATAACCTGATCGTCTGAATGAATGTACAAGAATGCCAGCGGTGGACAATAATTAAAATGATACCCAATTTAACTGAATGAATTATTTACTGAATGTAAGGCTGGTTATAACGCATAGGTAATGCGCAGCCAGCCAGCCACTGCACTACAGTTATCACGACACTAATTGCTACTCGTACAATTTTTATTCCGCTTTTTCATATGCTTACTTTAAATTTTTCCAGCAAGCGGCGCGAAGTTCCGCTGGCTATTTCCTCGACATATCCACCAGCGGCAGTCGGTTCTGTAGAATTAATACAAAAATGTTGTTTTTCTTTAACAACAACAAAAATTCGCAGCCACGTGCAACGATTTGCACACTTACCTATTTCGATGACGACCAGATGAATATATTCTGCAAAAAATGCAAACACGAAGGATTAGGCGCAAAGGAGCATCCAGCTGAGCCGATAACGCAAAATATTGTTGTTAAATTGTAATAGAAAGTCGCAAAATTTATCTCCCTACATTATCGGCTACTCGTATGCCTCTCTATATATAAAGTTACCGTAATTATCGAATTTGTGCCCCCCCCCCCTGTAATAATAATTACGGCACCCGGTGCCGTAATTAAATGTTAAGCCTAATAAACCGGTAATCAGACGGTAATTTGCGTTTTTAGATTTTTAAACGCTAACGACTTTTTCACTTACAATCGATAAACGGGCGTAAAAAAGGCGGTGGTAAATGCTGGCAAATATTAACTTCCAGATACCAGGATTTTGCAAGCAAATTGTGTAATTCCGTAATGCTACTACTTCCTAGCTAACCATATGCCCGGTAACTACTGCGCTCAGTTTCGGTAGAGCAGGATGCGCTGTTGTTTGGAAAAAATAATGATCCCTTCTGAAATTTAATGTTTGAAAAATAACGGCCCGTTTTAAAATTTGGTGCTTGAAAAATAAGGGCACCCCTCCCCCGAAATAAGCGCACTTCCCCGAAATATTCGAACTATTTGCCGCCCAGTGCGGCAAATTCGATAATTACGGTATTCAATTAAGCTAAAGAAGCTATGGAAAACACCGGCAGAAGAAAAACTCGTTGACCATACGAGAAACGATTATCTCACTTCTAGGGATACCGCCCTATCTCTTAACTGGGTGAAATCAAAGTTGCAGATGATTCACATTTTATTATTAAAATCAAATAATTTACAATGAAAAGAATAAATGAAAAGAAACTGAGAATTCAACACAAATTTATATAAATAAATTAAACACAGCCGAAACATAATTTTCAGTGTTTTTATTACTTTTATGTTTAACAACAGAAAATTTTCGGGGAGAACTGTTATAAATAATTAAAGCTTTAATTTCATTCAAAATCGCCCGAACACTTTTTGAACTACAATCATCTTACTACTTTACCATCTACGCAGCATATACATACTAACGCAATTGTACACCTATACAGACGACTTACTCCCACTTTCTTCAGAGTCTCCCAGCTGGCCGGGTTGCTGATGCGGACCTGCTGTAGCCACAGCCTGCAAAAATTTCGATTTGTAGAGTTTTCATCGGGCAATTATTAGCATCCCAAAAATGACCACCACCCCGTCTCTTTAATCCCTGTTTGGCTACATAGTGGCACATCAATAGGCGCCAGCTTTAATATTGCTACCATGCCGTAATGCACATGAGCGTTCTCCTCATGGTTAACATGTATTTCTGTAAAACTCATTCTCTATTTACTGCCCGTTTAATTTTCACGAAAACTTCAAAGCTGAAAAATTTAATTAAGGAAATTTAATGAATTCCGGGCTCGAGCAACTGCCCGGAGGGATAAAACGGGAAAACAGTGCGCCGGGACCTGGCGCGAAAAAATGGAGCTGGCGCTGGCGCACCGCAAATTAAATTAGAAAAGCGTAGAAAAGTGGCTTTTTTGAGCCATTTTTTACGATATTTAACTTTCGAGCCATTTTCGAAATGGCGCGCGACTAACCTTAATATTTGACACTCCTCCACCCACTTTCCAGCTGGACAAGGACAGTGCGGCCGGAGTGAGGCTAGATACCGGAGGCAGATGAGTGACCGCTGACCCGGATCCGAATCCAGATTTTTCGATTTCTGGCAATTTTTCCACGGACTGCGGAGTATTTGGTGATTTTGCAGCAGTTTCCGGTTGTTTTCCACTCTGCGACGCTTTCGGGGTTTTTTCCGTCAGTTTTGGAAGTTTCGGCAATTTCTCCAAAGTCTGTGGCGATTTTTCCGTGGTTCCTGTTGTCAGGGACTGCGACAAATCGATTCCCTCGCGATTGAAAGCGCTGCCGCTGGCTTTGAATGGATTTTTAATTTCTTCGGCTTTTTGTGGGCTCTCTCGTCTCGTGCAACGGGAGCGGTTTCCGTCTTCGGTGGCGTTGCCGTGACGTGTGGGCTTTCTCGGGCCGGTTGTCGAGCCGCATTCTCTGAAAATCACACAAAAATGCCAAAATACTGCTACAAAATTTACAAGTAAAATAAGCCCCTATTAATCAAATAAATCATTTTTTAATTAATAACTGAATAATTTACGGTTTACCAAAAGACATGGAATTTTGCAACCGAAACCGATACGTCCGCAAACAACCGGAATAATTAGAGGTATATAGGTTTTGATAAATATCATAATTATACTGATTTGTATTCTGCAGTCGCTTACAATTAAAAAGCAGCAGTGAGACGCAATACTAAAAATTAAAGTTATCATTAATACACAGTAAACAGTAAAATGAATTATTAAATATACGACCAATTACGACCAACCGTAAACAGCAAATACAGTAAGAAATCTGAAGACAATTTTTGAAAGAAAAGTAAAACTCACTGTTTTCCATTTTTATCTCTTGCAGTCTTGCTGATCTGGTAACTGGTCTGGATTCCCAAGGAAGTTCGCTGCAAAAACACCACAAATTTCACAACCTATAACTTCTGCACCGTGACACGAAAAAAGTGTTAAAATGGCAGCAAATCGTGAAAATAAATGCTTTTTTTTTCACAGAAATATCAGATAGAGTGAGAAAGTAACGAAAGTCATGCAGGAACTGGTAAGAGCAGAGGCACTATAATTTTCATTACGTTCAGTGTTCTGATTGTTGGGTTCGCGGACGACACCCGTCACGCTGTGGACCACGGATCCGCAGAACTCCTCAGCTTCTTGACGGTGAATTTGGCTAGCGAACCGCAACAACTATTATCCTGCAAAGAACAGCCGTGTGAGAAAGCAACCCGAGGCAAACGGCGGGCAGGTGCGTTTACACTGGCGACCGTGGCGACGCTGCTCGTCTATCCGAAAAGGCTGACGACGACCTGCTACGACTCCGTCGCTGTTAACGTCGCATCACGAATCCCAACACAATTCTTATACAGGATGAAATTATAGCGGATAACTTAAATTCATGAAACACGTCTGGAAGAAAAAGGGCCAGTGAAAAACTGGCAAATGAAAATCCAGAATCAAGAATGTTTTGGATTGCGATTGGGTCGGTGGCGGGGTGAGCCGAAGCTGATAATTATGCAGTTCGGCTCACTACGCTACTAATGTAGATGATCATGGAGAATACCCTGTATTCTAAGAGGGTCGAACGGTGATAGACTACAGGGAAACGACAAGCACGAGCAATATTTGGTTATGCCATTTGACTCATTTCCGCTCCCAACTTGTGGCGATGAGAAATCGAACTACGAAGTTTGCTGACGAGGTAAAAAATCCTGGTTCGGCTCCCATTTTCCATCCCGCTCATTAGAAAGATTGGTCGTGATTTGAATAAATTTCGGGCGCAATGATTTGATCCATTTTTATCTTATTTTATCTGTTTCAGAGATCCATATGTGATATTGCCCGCATAATCGGTGATTTTAATCTTTTACAGAGATCGCTTTATCTGATTTCTGATTTATTATCATTCATAGCATGAATTTTGAATTTTTAATGAGCTTTAATTTAGCCAGTGAATGACTGAATGTGGTTGAATTGTACGTATTTGTGCATCGTTATCGCATGATCTGATCGGTTTTATCACAGCAACCTGCGGGCTGTATGACTCGTTAAATGAGCCGCGTGAAGAAAACAGACTGAACCATAATAAAGTCACGTGGATGCGTGGAGATCCGACCGCAGAACGCGCGTGTGTGTACGAGCAGTGCGCGGAGATTGTAATCGACCATTCCGCGTCACACTCATCACTCGCACAACACTGGTTGCAGGAAACGATTTCTGGACTACTGTTTCCTTGTTTTTGACCCTCGCATGACAGTATTGTAGCATATTGAGAGTTTTATTTTGTGTGGATGGCAGTCATGACACGAATCTTGATGGAACGCGCGAGCGGAATTTTTCATTGTGTCATTTCTGTGGAGCAGAGTTTTGGCGTGTCTTGTTGATTTGTCTCGGATTCACTCGGTTGAGATTTGAAAAGGTGATTTCTGGTAATTATTTAGATGATTTACAACTATCTTGGCTCAGAATTGTGCGGTTGCTGGTTGTACTTAATTTGTTTATTTTGATTTTTATCCCATTTTGCCTTTTGCAGTGGAACTTCTAGTCTTATTACTCTTATATTTACTTATTACAATATTCCTTATCGTTTTTATCCTTTCATGGCTTCGTTTACGTTCCTAATAAAACCTTAAATTTTCACGCGATTTTTCTTCCTTTTTTTCAGTTTTTTATTTTGGTTTAAGATGCCGATAAATGTTTATAACAAAAACAGCAGAAATCGTGGCTGTAAAAAGCTACGGTTCGTTTATTTGTTTCTAAATTTTTTTGTAATATTCTTCGCGCATTTTTATACTTGGTGTGTATTTGTATTGGATATCACTTGTTTACTTCCTTAATGGGTATTTTTGTGAAACTGTGAATTTTGTAGGTGTGTAAGTGAAGAGGAGTGTTGAGGATGGCGGAGAAGGTGCAGAATCTGGCGCAGGCCATCTACGCGGAGTTCGAGAAGCTGATGGGCAAGTACGACGAGAAGGTGGCGGACGGGCTGATGCCGCTGATCGTCAACGCGCTGGAACTGCTGGACGCCAGCTGCGTGGAGAACGAGGAGCGGCGCGCCGAGGTGGAGGTGCTGCGCGAGGACAACGAGCAGCTCATCACGCAGTACGACCGCGAGAAGGCCCAGCGCAAACACTTCCAACAGGTCCGTTGCTCCTTACTTTCCGATTTCTGATGCAAAAATATTTGAAAAAAAATCCATTTAAAAAACTTCCGACTTTTGCAAACATTTTTCTGTTGTTATTCTTGAAATGCCTACTCGGAAAATGTGGGGGCTGGCTGATTTTCCTTAAATTGTTTACAGTTTTACTGGTTTTCTTAGACTTTTCTGTACTGTACATCGGAAATTTTGTTTTCATTCTTTACACGCTGTTATTTTTTACTTGTTGGTGATTTCTCGCAATATGGAGATAATTTTTGAAAGAATTTTGTGTTGTTTGTGGTATCCGGTTTTTTTCTGTGACTGTAAAAACTCACAGTTTCCGGTGCTGTGTATGACTAATATTGCGCAGATTCTGTCTTTGTTTTTTCTTAATTTTGAGAACGTTTTTGGACAGTTTCATCTGTTACGGGTATAATAATCTGATAACACTGATTTTTTGCAAATAATACTGATAATATTGATTATGCAGAAAGTGGTGGAGGTGGAAGACTCGTTGGACGAGGAGAAGCGGCAACTGCAGGAGAAGAGCGACAGTCTGGAGGCCATTGTCCGCATTATGGAAGTCAAGTCCAAGAGCGCCGCCGATCAGGGTGCATAATTAATTCCGCCGCTTTACTCTGCCATTATAACGATTTAATCGATTCTTCTAGTGATGCGTTATGAAGAGAAGGAAAAAGAAACCCGTAAAGAATATGACAAACTCCATGACCGATATTCTCAGGTGCGACAAGGAATGATAAAAATAATTCGGCATAAATCTGTCAATAATTTCGGATTAATGTTTTCTTAAATTCAGAAGAAGTGCTCTTATATATCGCCATCAACGGAAAATGTGCAATAGTTTTTAGCGATGAGATTTATGAAAATATTGGTAAAATAGCAGTTTATGTTGCGGAAATTAATTGATGTTTATTTGGAAATGTTTCGAATGAATGAAGAGATTGATCGAGGTTATTACATTTATGTCAACATTGGCTTTTATAATGTAGCTGTTCAAGACGCACGTGGAGCATCTGGAAAGGACGCGGTATTTACTCGGCGCCAATAACATGTATGCAGCGGCATTGTAGCGGAGAAATGATTGGCACGCGCTAATGTCAATGTTGGTCTTGTTGTATGATGCGACAGTGACGAGAACGGCTTCGTGAAGGAGCCGCTGTCCTCGGCCTCGCAGGCCTCCGAGATCGACATGGACGACGAGGATGTGGAGGCGCGACTCGCGCAGCGGGGCCGCCAACTACTCAACTCCATGGAGCAGACGGTGCGGGCGGCGCACGCCAGCCCGGGGAGCGTTGCGCCGCTGCAGAGCGCCAACTTCACCAACATTCTGCCCAGGAGGTAAATTTGGATAGTGTCCTTATTCGCTGGGATATGTCTGTAAATTGTAAGCGAAATAATTAATAGAATTAATTTAACAGAAATTTTCAACGAAAGCAATCCTTCATCTGCCAATCGTGTTGATTTGAAAACAACTTCAACAAGAATGTATTCTGGAATTGATTTCTTGTGGAATATCTGTTTCTGTAAATAAACTGCATAGAGCAATAGTTGCTGTAACTAGAGAGATGTCTAATTGTTAGGTGCAAAGTTTTGCGGTTTTCATGGGTGGATTGTGCTCGTGCGTCATCGACATTTTAATGTCTGGTTTTCAATGTCTCATGGTCTTGCAGTTTATTTAAACTTCCATCTGTTTTACACGTATTTTTTTGAATATATTTTTTATTTTAATCTATGGATTATATTTTCTAATCAAAGCCGGGCCAGGAACCTATTTTTTAAAACTAGGAGTTTGCTCAGCTGTGTGTCATGATTCTTGTTTTCTCCAAGTGTTTTCCGTTTAGAATTTTTTTTTTAGTGCAAATAGTAATAACTTGCAAAGTTATCTACATAAAAAGAAATTATTTTGTGCAGATTTGTCTTTATATTTTTACGGCAGCACTCACTACTCGTACTTACCAGACACACTAGTTGGACATGCCGTTGCTCTACGATTTCATACTTCGGCATATGTCGCGAGAGCATAACTTACTGTATACCACAACGTTTTTTTTAATCACAACGCCCCTACAGTCACTGTGTTTCCGACAATCACCGAAATCAGTTTGTCGCGCTGGCTTTGCTGTTTGCAGTAAGACCGTTAGAGTAAATAAATCTGCGTAAATAAATTTGCGTTAAAATTTTTGATAATATGTAGGAAGAATATTTTACGGATACAGAAATTAGTAATAAATTTTGTGATGGTAACTGTTGGTAAGACTAAGATTTACACATGGATTAGAATGTATCGAACATGACAGTTGCCAGCCCAACTCTTGTTTTCCTCTGATCCCACAGAATGACATCGTACACGGAAGGCGACATGTCAATGGAGCCGGATGACATGGAGCTGGGGGGTACGGTCTCGCTTCCTGTCTCTTGCTTTGACAAACACTGGCAGTGTAATCTTGCAGAGCGGGATGAGAAGAAGGACGTGGGATCAGGTCAGTGGCATGATGATCCCTGTCTTGCCATCGATCGCGAGGCAGACGGTTAATATGGCTGTGTTGTGTGTGTGAACAGATACGGAGGAGGAGGGCAGCGGTGATGCGCAGGGCGCGGTGCCGACGGAGCGGACGGATGCTGATGGTAAGACGGTCGGGGATGGGGGGATAACCGGGGATAATGGGGGATGGGAAATGAGAATAGTAGGACGCGATGTGCATTCGCGGTGCGGGTGGTTTAAGTGTGGGTTATGGCCTGTCGAGGGGATAATTAAAAGCGTATTTGCTGCTGTGGAGTCACAGGGTATTTGTCAATGTGGGGGTGCGAAATTAAACATTCAACATGTTTCTATAATACTCTGTCGAATGGTTGTTCGTATTTTTTTCTTTAAAAGTTTATAAAAAATAATCAATTAGGATTTATTCTCTAATAATCTTCTAGCTGGTTTTGAAAATTCCGCCTAATGAATTAGCTTTATTTCGAAACAGTTTAATGGAATTTGGGAAAAGGTATTTGTTGAGTTTCACGGGATTATTTTGGATGTCTGGATGTTTTGGATTCAAATTAACGGAAATATTTCTCAAGATTTAATTCGAAAAACGTTTTAGCTGATTTTTTTTTAAAATGTTATTTCGTTTCTGAAAAAAACGGGATGCGATAATTTAATAGTATTTTTCTATATATCCGCAAAAAATAGCGATAAATAATCTGTTCCTTCGTTTTTTACTACGGGATTTGGGAAGTAATGATTGAATAATTGCTTTTCTTGAATGGGCCAGTTGTATTTCATGTTTTCTGATATATAAAAAAAGCCTATGTAAAATAGGTTTGCGTGTAGGTTTTTCATTGTTTGAAAATTATTTTTAAAAAAACCAATACTTGAAGTAGAAGTTAATTTCTTCATTGTTTATGTTGGTTTTTCTAACATGGTTTGTTGTGCGTGTGTCCGAGTGTGGGCCCGGTGTGGTGGGAATGGGGTCGTTGTTTGTTGGTTTGGCTAACCTTGTGCTTTTTCATGTTTGCTAACTAGCGGCCAGTGGGCGTTTCCCCTTTGGTAAGTCTGTTGGCAGTCATGCCTGTTCTTGCATGTTTAACATAACATTGTTATTGAATCATCAATAAACCGTTTTACTGGGATTTACAGCCATCAGCCGCGAGATCGAGGAACTGATCCGGGAAAACAACGATTTATTAGCCACGAAGTAGGCTGGATTCATTAACTGACTGATTACTGCATTAGTTTGCTTCTTTGAAAATTCTTGGAGACTTTTTTAATTAGCCGGCTGTTACAGGAATGCCTTGAACGTTGTCAAGGATGATCTCATTGCCCAGTTGGATGAATTGTCCAGGTATATTGTAGTTTTTAGCGTATTGCTTTGTAGTTCTTATTTATTGACCTTATTGTGTATATTATTGATGGTTTTTTGACTTTTGTCGTTTTTATTTATGGGCGGCTGTCGCTCGTTAATTACTTGGATAAGGGTGTGTAGTGGCGTAGTGTTGTGGCTGAATAGTCGCATACTGTATAAACCGTATTCCCTGCATAAGCGTTGATCAACGTCAACAACGTTACTTGGTGCTTAATTATAATTGTCGCATTTACTCGTAGTTTTTACAGTTTTTAATATTGCTAGGGTTCTGTAGTTTTTCTTGTTTTATGCATGATTTGCGAATCATTTTTTAAAGTTCGCATTTGATTTTATATAATTATGTAATAACAGGTTTACCGTCCGAAATACTTGTTTGTTCGTTACCTAAAAATGCTGAGTCTGCAGTGCTGTTTGATGTTTATGTTTTTGATAAAATTTTTTACGCATTACGAGTTTTATTTTGAACCAATTTGATCCCGTGTTTAAAAAGCTCATCTGGGACGATTCAGGCAGAAATTAGAAGTAAAAAATTAAACTCGTAAATAGTTATGTGTTTTTCATTCAAAAAATTAATTTTCGACTTATTTTCCTCGCTTATTTAAGTTATGGACATTTTTGGGGCAGGATGTTGATTATAATGTTGTTCTTTCCATAAACTACATCACTAACTCGATGTGCGTTTTGCAGTGAGAAGGAGATGTTCCGTGAAGAGAACGCCTCGCTGCAGGAAGTGAAGAACAAGCTGAAGGAGCGCATCGTCAACCTCGAGGACAATTTAAAGCGAATGCGTGAGCACTACGAACTGAAGCTGCACGAGGCCAGTCAGGACGATGAGAACGCCCTAGTGCCATACGCGCAGCAGAAGCGTTTCACGCGCGTGGAGATGGCGCGGTTGGTGCAGGAGAAGAACAAGTACAAGGAGCAGCTCATGGAGTTGCAGGACGAGATGCGCGCCAAACTGTCGCAGAATCAGCGCGTCGTCATGCAGCAGCGCCGCGGCCGGTCCGGCTTCTTCAAATTGTAAGTGGCAACGTGATGAATAGATGTGAAAAGGTGTCAAAAAAAGGCCGGTTGGAAAACGAGTAATAGAATGAAAATCGCCGCTCGGATTGTTTGTGTTATTGTTATTATGTTAAAATGGTACTGTATTGTGATGGCTCTAAGATGACCTGCTCAACTCTCACAATGGTAAAGCATTTAACGATTATCGAATACTCGGGTATTATGAATTGTTCTTTCGTTATGTTTTTTCTTCAGTTCTCGATAATTTTTCCCTTTTTCGGTAAATACAGTAAAGTAGTAATTAAGCCAGTAAGTAATAACGAACCACAGTTTTGCTTCTGTTCATAATTTTCATCGGCTGCGGTTGGACACTACTGTTTTATAATTAGTTGAGTAAGGAAGCGTGTACGGTTCAGTGATGCTGGCTGGATGTATCATAATGTAGCTTTCGTTTTCAGCTTCAGCGGCCTGTTTGGGAGCTCCGGCAGCCGCGAGAACAGCGCTGTCCGCTACAACAACGACCACACCCTCCCGCCCTCGCGGGGCGGCGGCACCATGTCCCCCTCGCAGCAGAGCACCGCGTCGCGATCGCCTCCCGCCTCGGAAGCGGCGCCCATCGACACCGCCGACGTCGTGGACCTCCAGGAGCATTATAAACGGTGAGTACAGCATCTTATTCTTTGCATCACGTAGTTGGCATTATTTCTGCGTTGGTGTGCGTTAACACGCGGTTTTAGGATTGCCACGGTGGCGGAGAATGCCGGGACACCGCAGAAGAGCCCTCCTACCGGCGGCCGGGGATCCCGTGGGTCCATTTCAGGGCGATCAGCCGGGAAGGAGACGCCGAGTGGGCGTGTGCAGGCGTTTGGGTGGAGTGTGCCGGTCGTCGCGGCAAGCGGAGCTGGCAATGTACTGGGCAGTGCTGTCGTCCCGAAACCTCTCTACTCCCGGCCACTGGTGGAAAAGGATCCCGATATGAAGGTACGCGCGAAGTGAATAAAATGGATTTCGTAAATATTTACTAGTAAAACAGGTGACATTAAAATTATGTAACTAATAAACAAAGCATGTAAGAAACGTAAACATACATATACATCATTTAAAGACTTAAGTCTTTACAACATTTACCACACGGTAATGTATAATGCTTGTTACAATGTTTGCGAGAATTAAGATGAGAAGAAGGCGGGTGAAGCAAGCCACTACTCTACGTTTGTTTGGTTATAGATTTGGTGCGCAGTGGGCATTCAGCTGCCGCCACGCACGGTCACCGCCGCTGCTGAGCCGGGTTCCGATGCGCTGCGCGAACAGGCGTACGCGGCTGCATCGTCCGTCATCTGGATCTGCAGTTCGACGCACTCCAGCGGCAAGGTGACGGTCATCGACGCCAACCGGCCCAACGATGTGGTGGAGAGCTTCCCCGTCTGCTCGTCGCATCTACTGTGCATCGGTTACGTTCCAGGTAAGCCCATTAGGATGAATAAAAATCAGGGAGAAATCGGCTTGGCATAGTATTAATAATTACATTTGTTCTCTCGTAATTAGGTAAAAAATGTAGTTTCGGATAAAAATTGCGAATTACCCGTTGGTTAGGTACAGCGACTGGGTTTTCCAGTACGATGATTATATTGTGAAGTTATGGTCAGTTTTTATTGTGCGTTTTACTCGGTTCGGTTGCTGGATGAAGTTATTTCCGGTCAAAAATTTTACGTAAATTTATTAAATTTATTTTGCAAAGTGTTTTCGTGATGCCATTACGAACTGCTTAACGAAGTCGAACTAGTCGAATTTTAATGCGAGACCTCCGTACTACGATATTATCATTGTACGATAGACCAGCTTTTCCATGTGTATAGTTGCTGATTTAAAGTCGCTGTTGTTCTATCAAGCCGTTGTGTACATACAGGCGCTCACGACGACGTGGAGATCCCGGTGCCGTTGGAGAAGCCGGAAGCCAGTCCGGAGAAGAAGGCCATCGAGCATCCGCTGATGAACAGCGGCGGACGGGGGCGCAGTGCGGATTTGGGGAACATCCTCTTCGTGTCCTGCGCAACGGGATCGTCGCCGCCGGTCAAGAGCGTCACCAGCGCAGCGGTGGGACACACGACGAGCAATGCACTGCCCAGCGATGCAAGCGGTGAGTTTCATTGCGAAAGTCAACGCCACCAACCGAGTTGGTTCGATCTGTATAGAGAGTAAGCAGCAATAAACTGAATTTAATTGTGTAATACGAGAAAAGTAATTCAAGCTCAGCAATATGGTAATTTAAAATTTTCATTAATATAATCAATATTCAAAATAAATGTACTTGTACTCCTGCTGAATTTAATTTTGAAATGATTGACCTTTGCGAGAACTAATCCAGAAGTCTTCACCGCGAAGTTGCATCTGTTGTTTCGTTTTGTTAGTGGAGAATTATTCGTCCAGAAAAACACAGCGACTGCGGTAACAATGGTGATTGTGTTGTAGTGAACAATGCAACAACGGATCTGTCGAGCGAGATGAGCGCGACGTGGGATCCCAGTGCGGAGAGCACTAGTGACCACATTCCCGTTGACTCCGATCTGGGCCGTGCCCGGGTGGAGGGTACCATCTGGATTGGCAGTCAGAATCGCGGGTAACATTCGACGATTGTATTGGAATAGTTTTGCTGTATGTCACCGCTTCACTGAACTTCGACGTCTTGATGCAGGCTGTACATTTATCATGCGTCGCGGATGTATCGCAAACGCCTCAGCAAGGTGGTCCTGGACGACGCGGTCCTCTGCATTGTGTGAGTATTGTACCAGGGCGAAGTATGATTAACGGGGAATGTATAAATAATTATGACGGCATTACTTTATGGTTCTATCCAACTGAAAGAAGCCAGGATGTGAAGCTATGGATGAACTGGTCGTCCTTAACCTGTTCTCTACAAAGTAGTGCTCACTGTCCTGTATGTAATTATCGGTGTGGTTTTCGTAGAATAATGGCTAAACAGGGGATGGAGGAAGAGAAACTGACCGCAGAATACATTGAGAATTGATAGCAATAAGCAAACTAACGATGTGATATGCTTTTTTAATTTTGTTTCCTTTCTATGAAAAACCTCACTTTCTCGTGTCTGGACAACAATTTTTGATTTATATAAAAACAATTTTCCAAGCTGTAGAACATGTTATAAGCAATGAATTTTTTAGAAACGCAACGGCTTTAATTCTTCTTGTAAGTGAATTTCCCTTAACTGGCACGAGAAATTGCGGTAATGAGTATACCTTGTAAAAGTGTTAGTACGTTAACATATCTATATGTGACTATATGTGATTGTTGCTGTATTTGTAAAATAAAGAACATAGGATTACATACGTACTCAAATAGCATCTCAATTTTCCGATATACTGTAACTAATGAATATCCTCGGTATTAAAAATATTAATATTTATAACCGTATCTATACGTACGTATGGGCATAATATTCGTATGATATATGTAGTATCTTCAGGTATGTAAAAATGCAGTCATATAACATTTCTGTTTGAGTATAGAAGTATAGAGAATTTTAAGTGGCAGTTTAAAATCTGAAATTGTCTGTATTTCGGTAGACATACGACGGGCCGCGTGTTGGCCTCGTTGGCGGACGGGCGTGTGGCGGTGTTCCGGCGGGTGCAGCCGGGTGGCTGGTGGGACACGACCAACTACCACCTGCTGAGTCTGGGCCAGGCCGACCACGCCATCCGCGCCATGAGCATCGTCCCGCCGCCCTATCCCGACTACATCCCCGGCATTCGTCGCAGCCCGGGGGCGGCTGGCAGTGAGCAACGGGACTGCGTGTGGGCCGGTTGCCGGAACAAGATCCATGTCGTCGATCCCCTCTCCATGAAGATCCTGGTAGGTGGATGTGGCCGAGAAATGGCTCGTTAAATGGTCGATAAAGTAGCAGTTTGTCGTCCGCTTTGTGCATAGTGTGTAGAGTGGATTTCGGTCGTCGTATAGTAGTGGCTGTGAGAAACCGATGTCCGTTAAAGCGCGAGGTGATAAGTCCAAATGCTTTGCTTCTGCAATGAGCAGTTCAAATAATTAGTTTAGTATTTCTCGATGAAGATTTTACGGCTATAGACCTGAAATTTTTTGTAGAAATATTATGTGTTTGTGGCCAGCTTGATGTCTGGATTGCTGCTGCGCTCAATTGGGTTTTTTTTATTGAATGTGTACATTCGGTTAAATTACAGTAAAAAAAATGTTGTAAAATGTAAGTAATAGTATAATACCGACTGTTTTCGGTGTTACAATATTATGTCATTGTTAAAAAAATGTTGGGAAATAACTGCCTGTCTTTGATTTCTGATTAAGCGACGCGATGTGTTGGGGCTTTGCAGAGCAGTTTCGAGGCGCATTCGCGGGTGGACAGCGCCATCCGGCAGATGGTGGTGGTGGGGCAGGGCGTGTGGATCTCGCTGCGACTGGACAACACGCTGCGTCTCTTCCACGCCCGCACCATGCAGCACCTCCAGGATCTGGCCGTCGAGCCGCTCTGCGCGCTGGTCGCCGGTAAATATCCATTTTAGTTACGGTTTTCATGTAATCACGGTGGAGAGTTGTCAGTGTCTAACCGTCAATGCAGTAATATGAAAGTGATGAGTTATTCTGTTCTAGGTAAGGGTCGCTTGGGCATCTCGCTGGTGCGTATCACGGCCATGTCGGCCTCGTGTCGGCGCCTGTGGATCGGCACCAGTACCGGCGTCGTCCTCTCCATTCCCCTCAGTTTTACCCCAGGTAAGACTCCATTATTATTTCATTTTTTTGTTCCATTATTATTTTATGTTTTGCAATTTTTTTCAAAATTTTATACATTTTTATCACTATTTTTATGAATAATTTAGATGCTAGCAACCCGGACAAGGAGTCGGCGGACGTGGCGAAATGTCTGCCCGGGTGCGATGACACACTGGCGCAGGTGTCCTATCACGGACACCGGGAGGAGGTCAAGTTCTTTGTCTCCATCCCCGGTACGTTATTCGGCGCTGCTCCCGTTGGACATCAATCCGTAACGCACGCATTAATGATTTTTAAATTGATTGCTCAATGCAGGAACGTACACACCCGGCGGGGCCACGCCGGCCAGCAACGACCCGAAGGCCAGCCAGGAGGACGCCAGTCTGCTGGTGTCCGGGGGTGAAGGCTACGTGGACTTCCGCTACGGTAAATTAACCAGATAAATTCATTAGATTTATTCAGTAATAAATAGCTAATGCAGTGCATTAAGAATGGTAATGTACAAAGCAGCAGTCTGCGTGCAGTAGTGTTGTAGTGTAATGGCTTTTGCGTGAGTGCGTGCGTTGTGTGTGGACGGCTCGTTAAAATTGTCAACCTTATTGTGAGTTATTGACAGTAGTGATGTGCTGCTACAGCTTCCTGCTACCTTACTTACTATTTACTAATCTTCCAAAACTTTTACTTACTATTACTTACTATTAACCCAAAATTTTTCAAATACTTACTATTGCCATTTTTCACAATCAATTACGTACTAATTATACTAAATAATTTATTTTAATTTTTAATTTAATGTTATTATCATATTTGGGATAGTGTTGTGCTACTAAATAAAATTAAATAACGGCCATTTACTTAGTAAAAGTCCGCCTAATATTAAAAGTCTAGTAAATAGTAAGGTTTTGGAAACAACGTAAGTAAAAGTAAGTAAATGTGCAGACGGAATAGTAAAAGTAAGTAAATATTAAGGTTCAGCGTTGAATAAATAAAAATCATTTACTAAATTATTTACTAAATCGTTTTATCAACGTTACGGAAAATCGGCGTGTCCGCCGCCGCCACTCGCAGGTAAAGTGAGTGTGCGCAGTAGTCGGCTGCCAGCCTGCCGCCCTCAAAGCAGCAGTATTTATTTTTCAGTATGCACCTGTATAGCTCGATTAATGCATAAGAAATTTATTTGCACTATTTTCAGTAGTCTGTTGCGCTTTGAAACTAACGCAATTCGAAACTTTCAATGCTAAATTACATTTATTTAGTAAATTTACTTTAATTTAGTAAGTAAATGTCCTTGGGAAAATTGAAATAAAAAGTAAAAGTAAGTAAAAGTCCCGAAAAATTTTGAATAGTAAGTAAAAATAAGTAAACTTTCAAAAGCCGATAGTAAAAATAAGTATATTGGCAAGGACTTTTACTACCCAACACTAATTTGGGACACTTGTGGATTTCATGAAGGAATCAAAATGTACTGTACTTTATGCGAATCTATGGTCTGTAAAGGCAAAATCTAGCAGTACAAATGTATTGCACAATCGGCTTGCCAGGCTGCTGTTGCATTGCAGTGTTTCAAATTCTTATAATAATACGTAACGTAACCGCAGTTTCGGGTTGGCGGTACATTGCGTTTACGTGAACAGCAATACCACCGTCTGTTAAGGCCGTTGGCGCCAACTTTAGTATGCAACGCCGTTAATGATGAACCTGCCTCAGTATACCAACGAGTTTTTCATCTGGTTATTTGCTAAAATTCGATCAGTAAATGAATTAGTAAATAACTTTCATTTAGCGGTAGCCAAATCTTACTATTTACTTACTATTTACTATTGTAGCTGAATATTTACTTACTTTTACTAATTCTGCATGTAAAACTTTACTGTTTACTCCACATTTAATTTTAGGGAAGCTTTTACTAATTAAATAGCATTTATTTAGTTTTATTTAGTAGCACATCACTAATTGACAGTGTGCTCATAATGAATTTGTTTTTTATTAAAGCGTTTTGCAAGGTAATCCATTCCATTTCCCGATAATGTCTTATTCTTCACAAATGCTAGAATATTATCGAAAAAAATAATTTGCTCAGTTGTAATTATATCGATAATGATTGTACTGATGTTTAAAAAATGTTTTGTGGTTTGACCAACCGTAAATTTACTTTGATGAAAACAAAATTCGTCTGTGTTGTACAGTCTGTGACAATACCAGCAACAAAAATTTCCTTTGTTGGTGATGTATGGAAACTGTTTGCAGATGATAGTGCGGAGAGCGGACTGGAGGATTCTCCGGGCGGCAACGCGGAGCCGCGCAGTATCCGCTCGCACCTGATCGTGTGGCAGACGCCGACCACGCCTACCACCTCCGCGCCCCGATCGTAAAGGGGAACGAGGGACACCCCTTCCCTCGCCCGGAGGGCGGCAGCTACCAGAACAGGCGCAATGCAACGGACAGCCGTGATGGTCTCTAGTCGGTGACGCAGATTATGCAAGGGATGGTTTTGCCAGTTTATTACACTGACCTTTCGTTTATACGGCTTCCAGTATGGTGTTCACAGTGTTTGTTATCGTGTTCATAGTGCTTTTACTTGTCTTTTAGCTGGAGTTTCTATTTGATTTTACTGATTTTATGCGTTTCTAAATGGATTTTTTATTAGTGTTTTTGTTTTTTTGTGGTGGTGCTTTTCTGTGGATTGGCGAATTTGTGATTGGTGTGTTGTGTTTTTCTTCGGGAATCGTGATTATGGGAAATGGAAACAAAATAAATTTAACGATAATATTGGAAGACATTTAGAAATATTTGTTTCGCATGGTGCTTGCTACAAAATCCTCAAAATCTGTACCTTATACAAGTTGTACTTCTTATTCCTACAAGTATAAGCATGATTACTTGCATTTGCATTTTTATTGGGTTATTCACATTAGCATAGGTTAAACGCAAAACTACGCCATTTGTCATTTCAACACAAAATACACTTCATCCAGTCTCATACCAATACGAAACGTAAGCAGCATTACCTCGCGTTAAAGCAACACTGATTCTCTGATTCAGAAATTGAGTGGACCGTTTCTCCGGTTTCTCCTCTCAAAAAAGCTGCATATGCCTACTTCTATACATACCTTACTTCTATACATACCTTACCATAAGGGAATGACCCGGTACATGGTACCAAATTCGTGTATTTACAGCCATGAACACCTTCACTTTCGCGCACTCCCAAAAACGTTTATGTAGATATGCATAGTGATTTTTATAAATAGGCGAGAGACAGCTTGTACCGGCAGCATCCGGTTCGGAAGTTATGGCTATAAGAACATTCCGAAAAGTTTTACATCAATATTGACTGATTTTAGTAACGATGCTGGTCATCAGGAATGTTATGTTTTAACTACCAGTAAATATCCCAAAAGTGTGTTTTTAGTATACGAGTACCGGCTATAAAGAACTGTAGCTTTGAGACGCAATCCATATGCATGTGCCATTATTCGGAAACATAATTTGCTTCGTCCGGTCTTCTAACAGTACAAAACACTTTCTGAAGACGACTGCATTTTTGCGCAGCGACGCCGTGCTGATGCACCGCGAAACCGTATCATTTTTGCACGTACTCTCGCAAACCATTTTACGAGGTGACCTTTTCAAACGCTTCAGTGTATACCGTGCACATATTTATCCATAGTAGTATTCTGTGATGGCGAAGATCGCATGCAGTGCTTAAATTACTTGACTACTTGTACGGTTGTATCTAATACAAAATGTGCAGACTTATTGCGTTATGAGCGGCGTTCCGTTTCCAGTGCGATCCTTTTGCGGTCACTTCAGTGTCCGCATAAAGAACACCAAATACGGAAAACCATCTTATAGCGCTCCGGAAGAAATGACTGTATAAGAAATTACGAATACGTTGAGTAGAGTTACAGTTACGCGAGCTCTATCAATCAATTTACATTATTACGAAAGCGTTTAGGTGGGTACATCCAGCAACAACACGAAGTACGTACCATAGCATACCCATTACCCACAGAATGGGCGGAAAAGTCACACGAACGCGGCTGCCGCTAGTTGAACTTGTCGTGTACCTTGATAGGACTTCTGATAAGTAGGTGAGCTCCTTACTGACTCCCTTCCGTGTCAGCTTTGCCAGAAGTCAGCCGTATACCTCATTCAGGAAATGGAGAGTGTTTTGGATGCACGAGCGAACGGTCCAACAAGCTGCAAGGACGTTCCGACAGAACTTTCGCGAGCACGAACAGGCACGCAGGTGGCTCTCCAGAAAAGCATCAGCAGCGTTTAAAAAAGGCCTAGGTTTATTATTCCGGTATCTGCTCTTACCAGAAAGCGTTGGTGGATAAAACGGCTTCGAACATGTTCGGACAGAACAGTGGACGAGGTTTGTCACAAGCATCCGGAAGACCGTCAGAATATGGAAAAAACGAGGTTCCGTCTCAGGAGACGTGGAAGCGGTTTTTGAACGAACAAAAACCCATACATATGAACGAAAATACGAAGCGTCCGCTCCTCTCGTGATTTGTCGCGAAACAAAGTTTTTTGTTCTCCGTCTAAAGAAGTTGCTTGTTTCTAGGCGGAGTACAAAAAGCTGTACGATTGACCATCAAAGTACGAAAAGAATGAGCTTCCTTCTCAAGAGACGTGGGAGCGGTTGGTGAACAGAAGCCTGTATTGAACAGAACAGCTTGTAACATCCGTTCCTGTTGTAAAATGGTGTCAGCATTCCTGTAGTTCCCTAATTTAGTTGCAGAACAGTGCTCGTCTGTAGCCGGCAGGAAGGTGGACGGGTGGATGGTGGATCTTCAATGAAGGTCATCCACCTTTCTGTAAAGGTCATCCACCTTTATCCACCTTTCTGCAAAGGTCATCCACCTTTCTCATCCACCTTTTTGTAAAGGTCATCCACCTTTCCGCGGAAGGTAACCCATCTTATCTGCATAAGCTTATTCATCACAACAATTTTTCAGTAATTGCTACCCATTCTGGTAAACAACTCTCCGTCTCGTATCAATATGATTGTATCATTCTATCGGTCGTACACAACTTTTCTGCCAAGTTGTTTTTGGTAGTCACTGATCTACCGTCGGCGTCCTGGTTTGCATCTGGAGACATTTAAGTATAAAAGTAGGACTACCAGTTCCCGTGACAATGTGTGCTCAGGGCGGCCGTGGCCATAATGAATGGTCTGCCTTGTATTACAAGCTCAGCTGCATCTATCAAGAAAATGCACCTAGTTGTGTGTAGCCGGCAGGAAGGTGGACGGGTGGATGGTGGATCTTCAATGAAGGTCATCCACCTTTTTGCAAAAGTCATCCACCTTTTTGAAAAGGTTATCCACCTTTTTGCAAAGGTCATCCACCTTTCTGTCGATTGTCGAACCTGTCAACTTTGTGCTTTCTCATCATTGGCATTCGTTACAACAATTTTTCAGTAATTGCTATCCTTTATGGTAAACAATATGCTTGAATTATTCTAGCAGTCGTACACACCTTTTCTGCCGAGTTGTTTTTGGTAGTCACTGATCTACCGTCGGCGTCCTGGTGTGCATCTGGAGACATTTAATTAAGTAGGAAACTAGGAATACCGTAACAATTTGCGCTCAGAGCGGCGGTGGCCATAATGTATGGTCTGTCTTGTACCATGTGCAAAGCTGCACCTATCAGGAAAATGCAACTAAATGTGCATGACAGAACGGAACGTAGCTCTTGGGGATGAAGGCGGAAATACAACAACGTCCTAATCTGGTGGCCGTGTTCGCGCAACTTACGTATACGTGATTTTTTGCAAACCTTTTGTGCACAGAAATTCTTGCATTACAAACAGTTCACTTCTGGACCACTAACAGCAAGGCAAACTCAAGTGGAGACGTTGTAGCACCTTAAGTGAGTGTTGTTATGGTAGTCCACCTTTCTGTAAAGGTCATCCACCTTTCTGCAAAAGTCATCCACCTTTCTTTAAAGGTCATCCACCTTTATATAAAGGTCATCCACCTTTCGTTAAAAGTCACCCACCTTTTTATAAAGGCCATCCACATTTCTGGAAAGGTATTGCAAATTGTAGCAATTGCTGTTCACTGCTATATCCATTAACTAACAACCAAAACATAATCGATAGCAGATTAATTACAAAATAACTAAGCTGAAGTTGTAGACTTCTAAAAAACCCCAAGAAAATCCCAGAGCAGAAAGTGAGTTTGTCGATTGCTTTCCGCTGCCGGGAATACTGCGCACCATGCCGCGGAGTATTTTCATACTGCAACGCTGTATCTAAATTGACTTTGCGCACATTTCATCAGACTGCTCCCGAAAACGCTTCGCAAGATCTGAAACAAAATTAAATTTTGGTCTTTGGGCCACGCATGGCAGTTTCGAAATGCGGGGCTAAGAGTTACGCCAGCGTGTCAACCTTTTGTTTTGTCATTTATCATTTTCATAATTCACCAAATTACATATCTCAAATAAATTTCGCACATTGGCTAATATACCGACCCTGAAAGCACGATCAGTAATACTGGAGTAAGTTGAGAAAACAGAATCTTAGCTTGCTACACAAACTAAGTCACCGGAAAAATGGCCAAACGCGAAGCGCCAGTGTTAATTTATATAAGCGACTTCCGCTCGCAATCAGTACCCTACACTAAGTTCCCACAATTACGGTTTGTCTTTTACCTACGAAAGAAAGGCATGCCACTTAATCGCTTTCCACCACTGTTTCTTTGATTTCGGCATCCCATGTTCCGCCGAAAATCATCCACACTCCTTCAAAGCTCATCTACCATTTTTTAAAGGACGTCCACCTTTTTTCAAAGGTCATCCACCATTCTTCAAAAATAATTCATCATTATGCAAGGCGAAATACTTCGATCTTTGCTTGGCGCCATTGTGCGCATCAGCCTTTCTGCCAGTCCGAATGGCAAAAATGATGATTCGGATTAAAAAGGCAAAAAGGCGTTTTTGGGGGTAGGCCTACTATACCTTTGCCGCACCGTTGCCTATGCCGTTTCAGTTTGCCTTTTTCAACTTTACCTTTACCTTTCATAAAACCTTTCTTTACTAAAAATTTCTAAATGTTAGTTTTAGTTTTTAGAGTGTTAGTTTTACAATGATTCTGTACAATGATGGAAAACCATTAACCATTAAATTTTAACCGGCGATAAATAAATTATAATTTGATTATTATAATTTTTAAAATTTGAATTTTGATTGCCGATTTACCTGAAATAATGCCCATGTAAATAGTGAAGGGCAAATTAGTGATTTTGATGGGTGATTTATATTGAATATTTGTTTATGTTAAAACTAACACACAACTTCGTTTACAATGTTCAAGTCGGACACTGTATTATTTAAAAAACTGTGTAAATGCGGTAAAACACCAATAAAGTCCAGAGACGGTAAAGTGTTAGACGGCAGTCTACTATGTAAATGTTAAAGGAAACGGTCAAGGTTATTTCAAACGACTTTTTGGGATGGCTAATTCGGCCGGAAAAGTTTTCGCGGCGGCAGAGGTAAAGGTAATGTTGAAACAACCAGAGTGAAAAGGCAAAAGCAAAGAAAAGACAAAGGTAAACTTGGCCGACCCTCAGCGAGCTGGCGAAAAGATTTTTTGCTCTCAAAAAAATACAATGTGAAAAATGTCATCGTAGTGAGATCAATGGATATGTATCGCCGGCAGAAAGGTGGATGACCTTTCCAGAAAGGTGGATGAGAAAGGTGGATGACCTTTCCAGAAAGGTGGATGACCTTAACAGAAAGGTTGATGAGAAAGGTGGATGACCTTTTGAGAAAGGTGGATGACCTTCATTGAGGATCCACCATCCACCCGTCCACCTTCCTGCCGGCTACACTCGTCGACTGGGAAAAAACAATCGCAGTGGCCACCGAAGCCTAACCGTTGAGTAGCTTCATAGATACTAGATGCATAGTGGCACGCGTTTTCGCTGATATCGATCGGCAAAGGTCGAAGGCGCCAGTTTACAAAATGCCGCTGATGAGTTTGAATTCTGTATGAATGGTATGACGCCCGAACAACGACCGAGACGGGCCGCCGGATCAGGTGGTTCACTTCGATAATTCACGTATCCATTGCAAACGCAAACCACTAACTGTAGGCTAAACGTAAAGTTGCAAACACATTAAAATAAATGTATAACCATTCATGTAAACAAAAAATGGATGTAAAAATATAATCGAAAGTATAAGCGTTCTGCTGACCGCTGGAGTTGTTACGAAAAAAACGAAATAAAGTGTAAATTATTAATAAAACTGATAAGAGCATATGAACCACGTTTAACTCCGCATACCGCCAATCTCCATTTTTAAATATCTAATAAATACTGAAAAGGTTGAGAATCTGAAAGTTAAGAAATACAAAGACTGCAAGTTAAAAACCGTTAAGGTACTGCAACCTACGGTACGAAGAAGCAGTACAAGCAAACACCCGAAGTGCCGATCCCGGATGCAACCTACAATGTTAACGTTGAACGGTTCTGCCTGTATGCAATTTAGTGCGAGGACGCCAATGGCATCGGTCAGTATTTCTTGGTTTATAGTCATGCAAATCATTCTGATGCACCAAACTGTATTATTTCACGAAAATTATCGATAAAAAAATAAAAAAAATTGTGGTATGCGGAGTCAACAGTGGGATGACAAAGGTATTACAAAGAGCGAACGGTGGTATAAAGGTGGCTGTAATGTATTAGTCTTCTGGTTCTCGTGATTTCCTTTCTTTACATACTTTTTAGCAACTATCTTCTCTTCTCTGCCAGCTACGGTTCTCGACTTTCCTATTCATTCAGTTACTCCCGATCGCGCTACGATACTTGACAATAAAGTTACGATGCACTCTCACAGCACATACACCACAGTGGCATACGGGGCTTTCACCGCGTTATATTTTTATTAGGTAAGTAGTGTCGAGTTGTCCTGCATACCTTGTAATTTGTCGGCAAATAATCAAATCAGAGTGAGAGAAGCTCACATAAAGGGTGACAAAAACAAGGCAAACGCACAAACATCCGAATATTGTGTATCCCAAATCAGCAAAAAAAATTATGGTCTTCTATTAACTCTGGGAAAATAACCATTACTGAGCCAATCAGTAAAATTTACGCTGGCGGCAGATGAAGTGATTGTAAAAACACTATAGGGTCACAGCGTGGAACCATGTTAATAAGCGCAACAGTCTTCAAATCACAAAAGTTATCGAAAATAGCACTTACAACCGGTTTGATCGTTTACGCGTTGTCACTTGCCACTGATCCCGAAGCAATGGGTGTACACCCGGGCGTGTCGCTAGTGACAAGTTTCCGGTTGCCTAGATACCAGGGCTCCATTTAAGTGATGTAGCATAATTATGCGATCATACAACATCGATAATCACAAAGAGAAACCACGGCATATGTCGTATACACCGACATGTACGCAGTACGCATAACTGTAACATTTTCCGAAACGCTGCAATCCCACTAGGAAGCTGCCAAAACCCAAAACCAGAATTAGTGAACTTTTCCAAAAACTTGACGGATTGTTGTTTATTACCCTCCTTTATAAGGCGCTGTTAATTCTGAGGAGTTCGTCATTTATTAGCCGCCTGGTGTAGCAAACCGGGGAAGATCCCGTCAGTCCGTTTGACGAATTTTCCAGGTATTTTGTTTATGATACTTCGAAGTATGCCAGTTGTCGCTCTGGCTGTGTTTCCTGCCACTTTGATCATGTTCGGCAACGTAGTTTTATGGCTTATACTTTATGGTAAAACCATCAGTATAACGAATAAGTGCATTACCGAAATACTGCTTAAAATGATTCAGATTTATGGCTTATTGATTCAACTTCTTTTCACTTCTTGCTCGCTGTAATCTCCAGAACGGATCATTCTGTCCTTGATTGAATGTAATTGTTTGAGAGTTTAAATTTTTACCGTAAAGGAGGTACCCGCGCTTGCACCTTGTGTTAAAAAGATAATAAAGTATTATCTTTTCTGTCTTTTACTTTTTACTTTTTTAAACTGTACGCAGTGGCTGGATATACTATCGGTAACGCGAATTGTTCGCTACCTAAGAAGAGTGCTTCTGCAGCGACTTCTTGCTATGTGAATTTCTAAAAAGTAAAGAAAATCGTTTGAGCTTTATTTTGGGTCGGTCTGGTGTTTGTTTGACATTTTCGTGCATGATGTTGATTAATATTCCGTTGTTTTCGTAAATTACTGTGCCAGCTCGCTTTTCAGTGCGAAAGAGATGCTACCGCGAAGAGAACGCCTCGCTACAAGAAGTGGAGAACAAGCTGAAGGAGCGCATCGTCCATTTAGAAGGCAAGAACGCGCTGGTGCCGCATGCGCATCAGAAGCGCTTCATGCGAGGAGGTGACGCGGTTGGTGCAGGAGAAGAACAAGTACAAGGAGCAGTTCATGGAGCTCCAGGACGAGATGCGCGCCATACTCTCACAGAATCAGCGCGTCGTCGTGCAGCAGCGCCGCGGCCGGTCCAGCTTCTTCAAATTGTAAGTGGCAGCGTGATGAATAAATGCAAAAGTATCAAAAATACAGGCCGGCTGGAAAAAGAATAATATAATGAAAATCGCCGCTCGGATTGTTCATCGGATCGTTATTATAAGTTATACTAGTATTGCATGCATTCACGTAGTGTGATGGATCTAAGATGATCTTCCGGTTTATTTGAAATGATAAACCCTTTAACGATTATGATAAATATCGAATAATTGGGTATATGCATTTTTCTTTCGTTATCTTTGTGTTCATTTGTCGATAATTTTTTTCCTTTTGTCGGTTAACAGAGTAAATTAATAATCAATTGAGCAAAGAAGCGTATGCGATACAGTGATGCAGGATGTTTAATTGGGATATGTCATAATGTAGCATTCGTTTTTCAGCTTCAGTGGCCTGTTTGGGAGCACCGGCAGCCGCGAGAACAGCGCCGTCCGCTACAACAACGACCACACCCTCCTGCCCTCGCCGGGCGGCGGCACCATGTCCCCTCGCAGTAGAGCACCGCGTCGCGATCTCCTCCCGCCTCGGAAGCGGCGCCCATCGACACCGCCGACGTCGTCGACCTCCAGGAACATTATAAACGGTGGGTACTGGGTCTTATTTTTTGCATCACGTAGTTGGCATTATTTCTGCGTTGGTGTGCGCTAACACGCGGTTTTAGGATTGCTACGGCGGCGGAGAACGGCGGGACGCCGCAGGAAAGTCCTCCCACCGGCGACCGGGGATCCTGTGGGTCCATAATTCAGGGCGATCGGCCGGGAAGGAGACGCCGAGTGGGCGGTGCAGGCGTTCGGATGGAGTGTGCCGGTGGTCGCGGCAAGCGGAGCTGGTATTGTGTTTGGCAGTGTCGTCGTCCCGAAGCCTCTCTACTCCCGGCCGTTGGTGGAGAAGGATCCCGATATGAAGGTACGCGCGAAAATTAAAGTGAATAAAATGGAATTATGTAAAATAACTAATATAAAAGTTTGACATTAAAACTATATTACCAAAACAATAGGCAATTATAAACGTACATAAATGTACATTTGCATTATTTAAAAAATTAAGTATTTACGAAATATACCACAATATGATGTATCGTTCATGGTACACTGTCAAACCTGAATTTAGACGAGCAGGCGGCTGCAAGAAGCCAGTATTCTACGTTTGTTTGGTTGTAGATCTGGTGTGCAGTGGGCATTTAACTGCCACCACGCACGCCGACCGCCGATGCGACCGAACCGGGCGCCGATGCCCTGCGCGAACAGGCGTACGCAGCCGCCTCGTCCGTCATCTGGATCTGCAGTTCCACCCACTCCAGTGCTCCAGTGGCAAGGTGACCGTCATGGACGCCAACCGAGAGCTTCCCCGTCTGTTCATCGCATCTACTGTGCATGGGTTACGTTCCAGGTGAGCCATTGGACGAGGGAGAAATCGATAATAACGAGGGAGAAATCGGTTTGGTATTGTTTTAATAATCACATTTTGTTCTCCGGTAATTAGGTAAAAAATGTAGTTCGGATAAAAATTGCGAATTACCCGTTGGTTACGTTGCTTACGTACAGCGACTGGGATTTCCAGTACGATGATTATATTGTGAAGTTATGGTCAGTTTTTATTGTGCATCTTGCTTGGTTTTCTTGCTGGGAGGAGTTATTTCAGGTCGAAAATTTACCGTAAATTAATTTTGAAATTGTTTTCATGATGCCGTTAGGAACTGCCTCAATTTAGTCGAACTTTAAGGCGCAACCTCTGTACTATGATATTATCAGTGTATGATAGAGCAGTATCTGTACTTGTGACTACATAGTGGCTGATTTAAAGTGGCTGTTTTCTATCGAGTTGCTGTACGCTGTCTGTAGGCATTCATGACGACGTGGAGATCCCGGTGCCGGTGGAGAAGCCGGAGGCCAGTCCGAGAAGAAGGCCATCGAACATCCGCTAATGAGCACCGGCGGACGGGGACGCAGTACGGATCTGGGGAATATTCTCTTCGTGTCCTGCGCGACGGGATCGTCGCCGCCGGTCAAGAGCGTTGCCAGCGCAGCGGTGGGACTATGGCAAGCAATGCACTGCCCAGCGACGCAAGCGGTGAGTTTTATTCCGAAAGTGAACGACAACGACCGAGCTGGTCCGATTTGTTAGAAAATAAGCTGCAATAAAGTGAATAAACGGAATTTGAGTGTACATAATAGGAAGACAAATAACTGAAGCTCAGTAATAACGAATTTTGACAGTCTTTATTAATATAACCAGTATGCAAAATAATGCACAGCTAATTTCATTTAATTTGGAAAATACCTAATTGACCTTATGAGCAAATAATCCAAAAATCTCCACCGCGAAGGTGTATCTATTATTGCATTTTGTTAGTGGAGAATTAATCGACCAGAATACAGAGCGACCGCGGTAACAATGGTGATGTAAACTTTATCGACAATAGCCAGTATACATAACAACATGCCTGCGCTGATTTACACTAATAAAAATGATCGAACAATGGTGATTGTGTTGCAGTGAACAATGCAACAGCGGATCTGTCGAGCGAGATGAGCGCGAAGTGATCCCAGTGCGGAGAGCTGTAGTGACCACATTCCCGTTGACTCCGATCTGGGCCGCGCCCGGGTGGAGGTACCGTGTGGATCGGCAGTCAGAATCGTGGGTAATTTCAACGATCATATTGGAACAGTTTCGTGTAATGACGTGTATGGCACCGCTCCACTGAACACTGACGCCTTGATGCAGGTTGTACATTTATCACGCGTCGCGGATATATCGCAAACGCCTCAGCAAGGTGATCCTGGACGACGCGGTCCTCTGCATTGTGTGAGTGCTACGCTCGGCGAAATGTCAGTAATTAACCTAGAATTCGTAAATAATTAGTTGGATAATACAACCTTTATGATTGTATCGAATTTAAAGAAGTTAGTAAGTCAGTATAGCCATGGGTGAACTGGCACTCTTAAGATATGTACTCTGTACATAGTGTGCTGGACATACTGTCCGGTATGTGATTTTCGTAGAATAATGGCTGACGGGCCAGAAAAGAACGAACGAAATCGCTGACCGTACCGTTGAGAAATGAGAACTGATAGCAAACTATAACGATGTGATGATTGTTTTTCTTCTTTCTATGAAAATCTCACGTTCTATTTGGACAACAGTTTTGATTTATTCAAACAAAATTTTAAGAGCTTTAATACTATTATGCGAGTAGTAGAACATGTTATACACAATGTGTTTGTGTAACGGCTTCATTTCTTCTCAAAAGTGAGTTCCTCGTAACTGGTACGAGAAATTTCGGTAATGGAAACACCTTGTAAAAGCGCTAGTACGTTATGGTTATCGTATTTTCTTTGTCGCTTTATGTGTAAAACAATAGAGAATATCTATGAATCCATACATATTCTAATTTCGTCTTTCTAATACGATATCCATAGGACCATAATTAAGGAATATTTCGGATATAATAACAGTAATAATTTCAGTAGAAAGTATAATCATAACATTCATGAATTGATATATTTTCAGGCGTGTGGAAATGCAGTCATATAATATTTTCGCCTGAGTATGTAGTGAATTAATATAGGTAGCAGTGCCCAAGCTGAATGTTTTCTGTATTTCGGCAGACATACGACGGGCCGCGTGCTGGCCTCGTTGGCGGACGGGCGTGGCGGTGTTCCGGCGGGTGCAGCCGGGTGGCTGGTGGGACACGACCAACTACCACCTGCTGAGTCTGGGCCAGGCCGACCACGCCATCCGCGCCATGAGCATCGTCCCGCCGCCCTATCCCGACTACATCCCCGGCATCCGCCGCAGCCCGGGGGCGGCTGGCAGTGAGCAACGGGACTGCGTGTGGGCCGGTTGCCGGAACAAGATCCACGTCGTCGATCCCCTCTCCATGAAGATCCTGGTAGGTACAGTGGATAAGGAAAGTAGCTCGTTGAATGGTCGATAAAGTGACAGTTTTTCGTCCGCTTTGTGAATGCCACTGTATGGTGTCTAAAGTGGTTGACAGTCGTCGTAGCGTAATGGCTGTGAACAAAGCAATGAACTCGTGTAAGCACAGGGAAAAGAATAATAACGTTAATACTTTGCCTCTGCAATGGAGATTTGCGGTTGTAAAAATGAACTTTTTGAGTAGAAATAGTTTGTGTTTGTGGCTAACGTAATGCATGGATGCTGCTGCGCTTAATGAATTTTTTTATGAACATGGACGCTCGGTTAAATCACAGGAAATAGATGTTGTAAAATGTATACTGATTATTTTCAGTGGTATATGTCGTTGTTAAGACATGTTGTTAGTGTTTGAACGTCATTGCAGTATTACGGAAGTATGAGTTAATCTGTGCTAGCCTGCTAGGTAAGGGTCGCTTGCGCATCTCGCTGGTGCGCATCACGGCCATGTCGGCCTCCTGCCGCGCCTGTGGATCGGCACCAGCACCGGCGTCCTCCTCTTCATTCCCCTCAGTTTCACGCCAGGTAAGACTCCATTATTATTTCATTTTTTGTTCCATTAATATTTTATTTTACAATTTTTCTCCAAATTATACATTTATTATCACTGTTACTGTTATTAATTTAGATGCCAGCAACCCGGACAAGGAGGCGGCCAGTCGTATCGAAGTGTCTGCCCGGGTGTGATGACCCCTGGCGCAGGTGTCGTATCACGGACGCCGGGAGGAGGTCAAGTTCTTCGTCTCCATTCCCGGTGCGTTGTATTGCGCTGATCCCGTGGGACATCAATCCGTAATGCACGCATTAGTGATATTTAAAAATGATTGCTCAATGCAGGAACGTACACACTCGGCGGGGCCACGCCTTCCAGCAACGACCCGAAGGCCAGCCAGGAGGACGCCAGTCTGCTGGTGTCCGGGGGTGAAGGCTACGTGGACTTCCGCTACGGTAAATTGACCAAATAAATTCATTAGATTTATTCAGTAATAAATAGCTCATGCAGTGCATTAAGAATGGTTATCTTAAGAATGGTTAGAAAGGACCTGAATATCTCGCAATCAGTCAGTTTAACTGAAGTAACAGCTCTGGTGAAATGCAGCAGTGTTGTAGTGTGATGGCTTGTGCATGTTTGCATACGCTTTGTGTGCGGCTTATTGAAACTGTAAACCTTGTTAAGACTTTGTAATAGTGGGATAATAATGAAATTGTTTTTAATTGAAGCATTTTGCAATGTACAATAATTCACTCCCTACAATATTACCGAAAAAATAATTTGCTCAGTTGTAATTTTATGATGTATCGATAATTTTAAAGGTTTTGTCGTTTGAACAACCGTAAATTTACGTTTGAGAAAATTCGTATGACTGTGACAAATACCAGCAACAAAAATTTCCCTTGTTGCATCACGCAAAGAAGTGTATTGCTGTATGGAAATTGTTCACAGATGACAGTGCGGAGAGCGGACTGGAGGATTCTCCGGGCGGCAACGCGGAGCCGCGCAGTATCCGCTCGCACCTGATCGTGTGGCAGACGCCGACCACGCCTACCACCTCCGCGCCCCGATCCTGAAGGAGAGCGACGGACACCCTCCTCGGGCGGCAGCTAGCAGACAGGCGCAATGCAACGGACAGCCGTGATGGTCTCTAGTCGGTGACGCAGATT